CCTTGAGAGGGGGCCCCTTGCTGGTATTCCCAAACCCAGAGAGGGGTTTTTTCAGGTGTATCCCTTCAAGGAGTATTGCTACACAAGCTCTTGCTGTGATGCAGTTATATTGTTTCCTGTAGGTGGTGCACCTCCTTTTTTGTTTTGCTATATGTACCTTGTGTGCTATAGTGAAGTCACTTATTCTTATTTTTCTTGGCACAAACTCTTTTAAGATCGTTGGCATATGCTCCTAAGCGTAGGCCCTAAACTCCATTTTCTAAATTACGTGTGTACGCTGATATGGAATTCGCTAACAACCTCTTCCTTCGCGGTCATTGTCCCGAGTCAACTTCTTGCGGTCGGCGTCGTTGGCCAACTTGTTGCCGACCGGCTTCCGCCTCCACCCGACTTCCTACGCTGTCCTTGCTTACGTCCCTGCTTCGTCAAGACAACGTAGTTGGCCTGCGGAACAAGCTCACTATGCCGCTCATAGTCTTGAATGAACTCGATGTTCATGGCGTGACTCGACAACAAGTCATCGTTGAGCGTTTTCCGCACGTTGGGCAGCGCCAGCAACCGGCACATTGAGCCTTGACGACGTAGGTGACGTACGACACCACCAAGTAGTCGATTCCGGCCATTCGCAGGTTGGCCAGAATCCGCCAAGTGCGGTAGCAGTACTCCGTTGCTAACTCCCGCTCGCCCATTCTGATGTTGGTCAGCCGCTGCACTAGTTGATCGACGTAGAAGTCGCCGATCGCCTTGTATATCCCCATAATCGCTTGGTAGCCGGCGTCCACTCGAATTTTACACCATTGGCGACGAGCACCACGAGATGGCCATGAAGGTCAGCAGATAAGGGGCACAGAAATTCGTCCAGATGTCGGCGTCCTCTTCGTACGGCGCCAACACGCTGCAGTCGACGAATTTCTTTTGCTAGACCCTATCGACTCCATCCACGCCAAGAGGTGTCAACCTTTCAGCAGCTTGGCCATGGTAATCGTGTCCAGCAAAAAAATCAAGTAGCCTTACGTTGGCACGATACTTGCGTTCCATCCAGCCAACATGTGGGTCAGTAACTACGGCCCGACTCCACTGCGTTGTGGAGAGCAATATCAACCACAGACGTCGTCGCGCGAGTTGCCTGCAGTCACCTTGACCGCAGCCCTTGCGCCTGCACTCTGTTCACGACAATGTTAGCAGCCTGAATTACTCCGCCAGTCACTCTCATGCCTCCTTTGCCGACTATGTTGCCGTTGTCACCTCTGTCGTTAAGTTGGAAAAAGGCTGACGCACCGTCCATTTTAGCACGGCGAGGGGGATGCTTACACGCCCACCGTGCATGAGTTCTAAGAATCATAGTCTCCATGCCCTCCTCAGCGTACTCGCTGTTGGAATAACCTAAAGGTTATATAAGGATTCCCGAAGGCATTCCACTGTACCAATACCGCAATAGCTCATATAGAGCATGCGGAAGGTCGAGGGTCACCCGAAGGTCAACCGTTGAGGGCAGTCAACGGTCGTGACCCTTGACCACCCAGTAACCGCGCGACAGTTGTTCGCTGCAACATGGTAACTGTCGAGCATGTGAATAGTCGTGGTTACTGTAGCTATGTAATACAGTTAATAAGGGAATGTACCCCTCAGAGTACATGGCTAGCTAGTTTGCTATTTAATCTCTTGTACTCCTATCTTTAAATTATATTGTTCCCTTTCAATTATTATTCAACAAAGTCACTACAGAGACTGCACTGTCTCCTCTCAGACTTAACAGTCTCATCCTGTCCACTTAATCCTTCGGTAATATCAGCACTCGCCAGCCTCATAGCGTGCTCAGAAACCAGTCCCTCGCCAACAGGGTATTTGGAGATATTTGGCGCATCTGCTCATGCTTATAACTAGTAATGGTAATGTGGTGCATAACATAGAGAATATTACATGTTCTGCTTATTGTACTGCAACCGAAAATGCTATTGGAGAATCGAAGTGGTTTGGCTAGCGAAACTGAGCGAGTAATGACGCTTGACGAAGTGTCGTGCGTGCGTGCAACTATTCCAGGCGATGGATTTTATTTTTCTTGCACGATTTCTTTCGCAACCTCTCTGTTCTGCTCAGGTGGATTTACGACGACGATTTCCTTCGCAGCACGAAATTTTCGGCACGCCAGGCGATTTTGCATCCGTTTTCCTCGTATATTTGTCGCAGAGATTCCGACTGTTTCGGGAGACTACACGGAAATAGGGGTTAGGGGGTGTTTCAGGTGGAGTGGGGGGCTCGCTCATGTGGCAAAGGCAACACGACGGGGCTCCAGCGGGTGGGCTACCCCGTTGTGGGTGAGCGACCACGGCGTTCCCAGGGGCAAACGAGAGTGACGGCGAGTTCATCTGGGCATCCTTTCCTCTCTTCAACGAACTGAACCCTTCGAGAAGCATGAGTACTGCCAGTGTGCTCTACATTCACATGGCGCGAAATGGGATTGAAGCTTTCAGCATGATTTGCGGCATAATATTCTGTCTTCACCGAACTGAACCCCTCGAAAAGCTTGAGTGCTGCTCTTGTGCTCTCAACTATTTACTGTATCACATGGCGCGAAATGAGATCAGGTTTCAGGGGAAAAAATAAGAGAAGGGACGCGACACACGTTGCCTGTATCTGTGACCGCCGCCATCCAAGGCATGGCATGAACCAATTCTTTCCGAGACACCTGCGACCGACATCGCAAGTCCCGGCCCGCGAAGCTCGTGGTATCTGACCCAGACAGCCGCGTTTTGGGCTGAATAGCAGCCACTTCCATCGCGAATGCGGCCCGGCGCTCCTCGTTTCTCCTTTCCGTTGGCTGCAAACCCGACTAAGAAAATGATGGTAGTAGCCCTCCAGCTGCGTGCCGGTTTGTAACACGAGTAGGCGGCTCGACTGGCTATAAAAGTGCTTGTGCTTTTCTTCAGAACATCACTTCATTTTCAGCCACTTCAAGCCTCTTCCTTCGCAAGTATCAGTGCGAATCGCAAATATAGTACCTTCTAAATCCGCCATGGCCCAGATGTCGCTGCGACCCGCGTTCGTTCTCGCGGGTGAGTTGCACATCCGCTGACCCTTCGGCCTCGAGTATGGGTCTTACTCCTCATCGCGATTGCTGGAGTCCCTGTGGTCACCAACTGTTGTTTCCGCCGCGTTACTTGGGAAAATCTGCGTGATGCTTTTAGAGTTCTCATTCTGGGTTTCGCAGAGCCTTGTTGAGTGACTTAACCCTAATATCCGGCGCACGTCGTCTCCCCGTGCAGTGCTGCTCTCGCTCACCTGCGGTGCCATCGCGGGCCGCCATCTGCTCCAAACTGGCAGCACTTATTGTACGACAAATACTCTTGCTGCATGCGGCGCCCTTGTTTGACGTGTTCTTCTTTGTCCGCGTCATCGTTTTGTACGCGCTATCATCTCGTTCGAAAAAGGAGGGTAACCTCATGCTCGCAGCTTCCTGCCTCAATTCCGTTTGCTCCGTTGCTAGTTCTCTGTTCCTTAATCCATCCACTGCTCCTGTTGTCGCTCTCCCTTTCCCGTCTCGCTGGTGCGCAGACAAAGCAGCGTCTACCATCTCTAGTCTCAGAACCACTGGTTCGGCCACGCTGATTGCCAACGTGTAAGCCTCACACACATTGAATATAACACCTCTGGGTCAAAACGAGGGTGTTATTTGGCGCAGCGGAATGCCCTTAACACTAGCCCACAGGCGTTACATTGAATCCCCACCTTGTTTTATCAATAATCCCCAAAACATGGTAGCATTTCTTCAATACCGCGCTGATTGTATATTCACTCGTTCTCTGACTGTGACGTATTCATGATTTGTTCACTCTTACCACGTTGAACGTGCACGGAGATGTCCCATTGGTAGTAGCATTGGCTGAAGTCATTCCGAGAGCTCTTGCAAAATTGCAATCTTTGTCCTCCCCTCCCCTTTGCAGCACAACCACTTATCAGTTGACCAACTTCACTATCCGCATTTCAAACAGACTCGCCAAGTCGGCCTCAGATTTCTCCAATCCGGCATACATTGACAGTAAAGGTTTAACTGTGGCCCAGTTCGCCTGCACATTCACCATCGATGCTGCTGGCGTGTGGGGCTGCAACGTTTCACAGAAGGTGGCGCTCACGATTGCTGAGTCTCGTAATTACTGTTGCCGGCGCTGCCGTGAAGGCGCCAGTTTCACCAACTTCTGTCACCAGCTACTGAGTGGCACACGCTGTAGAGAGATTCTCCAGTGCTTACGGTGCTTTATGTGCTGGATCTTGGGATGTGCTCCAAATTAATGAAAATGTTTCTTCTTTATTCTATGGATTTTGAGTCCAGGAATCGTGAAGCAAAGGATCCAGTTTGGGACCCTAGTAGTATGCACTCCACCCACCTCTTGCTGCCCTCTTCCTGCATCCCATGCACTGGGTGATTACACAACACGAAACGGCCCTGCCCTCCACTGCACTGGCATCCCACCAGAACCGCCGTGCGCATCACACCCACAAGCTCGCCCCACGGTTCAAAAAGGGTAGCCGTGCCACAAGGAGAAGAGTGAGGCAACGCAGCATGCTGGTCCATGGGGACGTGATCAATCAGTACCGTAACCGGTAACACGGCATGGCACATGCAGAACGAAAGAAACATGGCTGACTATAGCAGTAGGGCACCACAGAAGAATGGCACCAGTGCCAGTCAAAGGGCACGAACGTGCACAGTACAGGCACAGTGAGCGCACGGGCAGAGCAGAGCAGCAAGGATGTAGCGCATGGCGGAGGCAGGGATCAGTAGCACGGTAGGAGGGGCGGTGCAGGTTGAGCATGGGAGAAGGGGGAGTCAGAAGGAGAGGCGTTGTGGGTTGAGAATGGCGTGGAGGGAATCAGGAGGAGGGGCGTTGCACGCTGAGCATGGCAGCAGGGGGAGTCAGGGGGAAGGGCGTTGCAGGTTGAGCATGGCAGCAGGGGGAGTCAGGAGGAGGGGCGTTGCAGGTTGAGCATGGCAGCAGGGGGAGTCAGGAGGAGGGGCGTTGCAGGTTGAGCATGGCAGCGCGTGCCTCGGCAAACATCTTCTGCTGCTCCGCTATCGCCTCCTCCTCACTCATCCCCGCCGCCCCCGCTGCCTTGCTGCTGCTCGACCGCCCCAGCGCGCGCGGTGACTCCTGCACGGGGAAGATAGGGGAGAAAAGGGGAGAGAGGCGAGTGGAAGTGAGCATGCAAGGCCGAGAGTGAGAGATGCTTGCTGCTGCTTGGCCGCCCGAGCGCGCGCACGCAAGGAGCGAGGAGGGTAGAGGAGGGGAGCATGCAAGGCCGAGAGTTAGAGATGCTTGCTGCTGCTCGCCCGCTCCAGCCCGCGAGGTGATTCCTGCAAGGGGGGGGACGGGGAGGGAGTTGGTGGGGGTGGGGGTGTGAGAGGGGAGCATGCAGGGCAGAATGTGAGAGAGATGCATGCCACACGAACGGCTTGCTGCTGCTCGCCCACCCCAGTGCACACGGTGACCCCTGCAGGGAGAGAGAGAGAGGGGGGAGGGTGTGAGAACACGCAAGGCAGAGAGTGGAAGAGATGCTGGTCCAAGATTCATTGGTGATATCACACCGTGACAGCCAAGAAGGTGGCTTGGTGGTTGCATCAGACAGGTGAGTGGCGGAGCCATGTGCAAGTGAGTGGCGGAGCCAAGTGCAAGTGAGTGGCGGAGCCATGTGCAAGTGAGTGGCGGAGCCATGTGCAAGTGAGTGGCGGAGCCAAGTGCAAGTGAGTGGCGGAGCCATGTGCAACAGGCTGTGCACCCCCCGTGTGCTGCAGCACCCCCTGTGTGCTGCAGCACCCCCCGTGTGCTGCAGCAGCCTATTGAAGGTCCACGGGCCTCAGCAGAAGAGGCGATGCAGGCAATGGAGGAGGTGGAGGCAATGGGGTGAATAGTGGGTTGCAACATGACACACAGCCAAGGGGAGTGGAGTGCGTGGAGGAGCAAGGGGGAGTGTGAGGAGGAGCGAGGGGGAGTGTGTGGAGGAGCGTGAGGGAGTGCGTGCGTCACCAGTGTTTCGGACTTGTGTTGGTCGTATGCTGCCTGCACCTCCGCCAGATAGCTGCTGAAGCCCAGCGACTGCATGCACACTCACGCGAGGGAGAGACAGGCAGCAAGCGAGGGGGAGAGTGTCATTAGCGCGGGAAAGAGGTACCGAGCAATGAGGGGAGACGGAGCAAAGTATCCAAGAAACTCAATCGGCAAGGGCAGGGCACGGGCAGGGAACGTATGGACTGGCTTACTTCTACCACTCCCCACCACCGCCCTCTCTCTCACCCCCACCGCCCTCGATCTCACCCCCACGGCCCTCAATCTCACCCCATCGCCCTCAATCTCACCTCACCTCTCTTTCTCTCACTCCTCACCGCCCTCTCTCTCACCCCACTTCCCCCTGTGTCACAGCACCGCCCTCCATCTCACCCCACCGCCCTCCATCACACCCCACCGCCCTCCATCTCACCTCCAGCGCCTGCAGCACGTGCTCAGGGGCAATGGTGCGCTTGTCCTCCTTGCTGCATCACTCACAATGTCACCTCAATCACCCAGTGTCTCTCTCTCTCTCTCTCTGGCACCAACCGAACTAATGACTGAGAAATGACCCCAAGGGCCCTATATATAGCTAGAGGGCAGAGGCAGAGGCTAGAGGCAGAGGCTAAGTCCTCTCTCTCTCTCTCTCTCTCTCTCTCTCTCTCTCTCTCTCTCTCTCTCTCTCTCTCTCTCTCTCTCTCTCTCTCTCTCTCTCTCTCTCTCTCCCACCGCCCTCCCATCTCCCCCCCCCCCCCCCTCTCACTTCGAGCGCCTGCAGCACGTGCTCGGGGGCGATGGTGCGCTTGTCCTCCTTGCTGCACATCTCATTCGCCTCCGATGATATCAGATTGATGAACTCTAGGAGGGGGAATGGATAGGAAGAGAGAAAGCTTGCCACACTACGTTCATACAAGCACTCTCAACCCACCCGGGCAGGCAGCGAGGCAACGTGAGGCATGAATCCATGAGGCATGAGTGCATGATGCATGCGTCCATGAGGCAGGTCGCTCAAATCACCAAGGCAAGCAGCTCAAATAACTGAGGCAGCTTACCGAGGCAACCCACCGAGGCAACCCACCGAGGCAACCCACCGAGGCAACCCACCGAGGCAACCCACCGAGGCAACCCACCGAATCAACCCACCGAATCAACCCACCGAATCAACCCACCGAAGCAACCCACCGAAGCAACCCTGCGAGTGAGGCAGAGAGATGGACTCACCGAGGCAGCAGTCCATGAGGAGGTCCTGAGTGTCCTTGGAGACTCGCACGTCGCGAGGCAGCATCTCCTTTATTAGCCGAATCATTGTCGCTGACAAACACCCGCGAGGGTAAAACAAAAGTGGAAGATACGGTGAAAGGAGGACAGGGTGACGCCGGAGATGAAAGGAAACGATGGCGGTGCTGGGAGCGGGAAGGGAGCGGAGGGACGGCACGCACTGGGGGCTGCACCCCAGAGACTAGAGTCGTTGCAAGGGGAGCAGAGAGGCCAAGGGTGGAGATTGGAGCGCAGAGCGCGGCAAAGGACAGCGTGATGTGGGGCATCCGGGGCAGCGCTGGGCTTTAAGGCGCTCGGAGGTACCTTTGGGCAGAGACACATCTTCAGGCCGCTTCGCTCCCGCCTCCATGGCCCCTCTCGCTGCCCCCCCTGTGCCCGCGCTGCTCTCGCTGCCCCCCCTGTGCCCGCGCTGCTCTTGCTGCCCCCTCTTGTTGCTCCAGGGGTTCACTGATCGTAACACCGCGTGTGCCGACCGACCAACGAAGCTTGCAGCGCTACTGGCGCCGCGCGCCGAGCGCGACGTGGTGCGACTGCGAGCGTCGCTCGACGACGTGCTGCTGCTCCCTTCGCCTGCTCGTGCTTCTCAGAGTGAAAGCTAGGATGGTATGGCACATTCGACGAAGCCTTAGCGAGTGCGTGCCTCGATGGGTGAGCGGCATGTGACGCTGTAACTTCCGTGTCGCGATGACTAGGTTCACGAACACGCCATCCAAGCCCTAATGAAAGAGTTGCTGTTAGTAGAAATTAAACGCGAACTGATGCTACAGAAAGAGTTGAAACCAGAGTAGCGAAAATTGTGCGGAATAATATGGTTGACAGGGTTAGTTCGTCGTGAGCGTCAGGCGGCTCGTGAAGCAACTACGCAAGGCTCATAAGGCAAACTGAGGATGCGTTCGGCGTTGCAAAACACGCCATGCGAACCAGGATTGGATCGCTGTATATATGAATGCGGCTTGAACTGGCCTTCGAATGGTGCTGGGTTGGATGTTGGGGCTCCAGGGTTCACGACCCACTCCACTCAATCCCGCACCTCCCAATACATCGCACACGTCGCACGCTGCATCTCGCGTTTCAGAGGAATTGCGCGTTACTGACGCGCTGTGACAGCAGCAAGGGTTGCCCAGAGCTGAATGGTGCGGGTTTGAATCGCAGAGTTGACAACCGCATACATGATAAAGTGCAATGCTGTAACATTTCAAGGGGTTCACCTGTCAATCTGACGGAACACTGACATATATCTCAAATATTAGCCTGATATAACAAGATTTAGCAGTGCTATCAAGTAATAGCCTACACTGTATTATTGTAAATAAGCGTTGTGACGAGCATTCTCGCATTGGCCATGACCTCCTTGAACTCCCTCCGGTCTACTCTGGTAATGCTCTGATCGCGCGTACACGCCACACACTCGTGAATGTTCCAACACTGCTCCTCGGGCAGGTGCGTGAACCCCCCGTCCTTCATGCAGGAGTTGCGAAAGAAGGCGCTGATGTCGTGTATGTTGCGCCAGGCGAGGTAGTGCACGCCGGAGCGCATGGCAATCTTCTTGTAGAGCGTGCTGAGGAACTTGTAGGGGAACAGCTCCACCACCACTGACCCGCGCGGCATGAACAGTGCCGTGGTGAGAGGCGTGCCGTGCAGGGAAATCAGTACTAGCGTGTTCTGAGAGAAGAAGGGGAAACAGGGAGGAGAAAGGGGAGGGAGAGAGAGAGGGGGGGAGAATGGGAGAAAGGAAGAGTGAGGGGGGAGTTGGTGTACGGACAGGCTGCTTGGATTGTGTGGTTGCAGATGGAGGAGCGGCTAAGAGACGGGAAGCAGGTGAACTGCAGCCTGGCGGTGTGCCGCTTCAGGTCAGGCAAGAGCCTCAAGCGAAACAGATGGTAACTTCTTTCATTGACCCACGCCCCCACTTCCCCTCCCCGCTCATCTACTTTCTTTTCCTGCGCGTTCCTCAACCTCTCCTTCTCCCTTCCATCCTCACCGACCACCACCACTTTGAGCAGCGGCGTGGTCCAAGGCACACCCCTTGCAAATCCCCTCACACCACCCTTCCTCATGCCTGTCTCCCTCTTCCTCACCACCGCACCTTGAGCAGCAGCGCGTGGTGGAAGGCAGAGGCCTTGCCGACCCGAGCGATGAGCAGCGGCATCTCGGGGAAGAGAGCGTGTGCCACGCGTGCCACCTCCTGCCCGTTCATCACCGACCGCCACCGCTCGCGCTCCAGCACTGTCACCTGCCAGCGCATGCGCCGGGGGGTGGGGGGCACCTGGTATAGGGGATGGGTGGCGGATAGAGGAAGCGACAGTGAGGCCTAGTTGGGGCGAGGGGGCGTGCTGGACACAAACCCCTCTCCCGCTCCAGCACCGTCACCTGCCAGCGCATGCGCCGCGGGGCAGGGGGCACCTGAAAAGGGGCAACAGGGATGGGAGGACTGTGGAAAAGAAAGGAAGAGATAGTGGGAGAGCGGGTTGATGGGATGTGCCCACTGCCCTCCCCCTCTCGCTCCAGCACGGTCACCTGCCACCTTATGCGCCAGGGAGCAGGGGGCGCCTGGGAAGAGGAAAGGGGGGGCAGGGATGGGGGGAGAACATAGCGGGAGCATGAGATGGGTGGCATGCAGGCAGACTGCCCTCTCCCTCACTCCAGCACCGTCACCTGCCAGCCACCTCATGTGCCGCGGGGCAGGGCCACCTGGGATTGAGTTGCAGGGTAATAGGGATGGGAGGAGAAGAGAGGCGGGGCACGAGGTGAGGGGACGTGCAGACTAACCATGTTCCCGCTCCAGCACCGTCTCCTGCCACCTCACGCTCCTCGGGGTGGGGAGGACATGGCCGGGCACAGGGGATGCGAGAGCAGTGGAAAACAAAGGAGAAGATAGCTGGACTTAGGGTTGATGGGAGGTGCCGGAGCGAGGAAGACGGTAGTGCACACTACCCTCTCCTTTGCCCCAGCACCAACACCTACCACCTCATAAGCTGCGGGCAGAGGAGGAGCAGGAGGAGGAGGAGGAGGAGGAGGAGGAGGAGGAGGAGGAGGAGGAGGAGGAGGAGGAGGAGGAGGAGGAGGAGGAGGAGGAGGAGGAGGAGGAGGAGAGGAGGAGGAGGAGGGAAGAACAGGGTGCAAGCTAGTCAAACGCAGGAAGCTGCTGAGCGTGGGGCTACTGGGTGAGGGGAAGCGGAAAATGATCTCTTGCTGTACCACGTAATCTTGCTGCTTTTCCAATATCTTCTACTTTCTCCACCACGTCTTGTCTCCCCCCTCACCTGCATCGCACATGAACCAACACCACAACGAAGCCACGCTGCTGCTCCCACCTGCCACCCTTTCTCTCTCACCACCCCTCTCACCACCCCTCTCGCCACCCACCGTGGGTCTGGGCTGGCCGGCAGGGGCGGAAGGCTGCGGCTAGTGCGGAGCGCTTTGACGCGCACCACGCCCGACTGGCTGCCACCCTTGCCCTTGCCCTTGCCCTTGCCCTTGCCCTTGCCCTTGCCCTTGCCCTTGCCCTTGCCCTTGCCCTTGCCCTTGCCCTTGCCCTTGCCCTTGCCCTTGCCCTTGCCCTTGCCCTTGCCCTTGCCCTTGCCCTTGCCCTTGCCCTTGCCCTTGCCCTTGCCCTTGCCCTTGCCCTTGCCCTTGCCCTTGCCCTTGCCCTTGCTGCGCCCGCCCGCCCCTAGCACCGTCCACTGCCTCAGCGTGTCCGCTGTCTGTGGCGTGTGCAGGCGGTTCAGCGGGAAGAGGGCGTTCCGGAAACACACCTGCCGGGCACACAAGGGGGGGCGAGCAGGTAAGGGGGGAAGGAGTGTATCGAAGGGGTAGGAAAGGGTGGGAACAGGAGAGGAGGGAAGGGCAGTGCAAACAATTCAGGCGGGGAGGGGGGGAGGGGGGGGAAGGCAGAATTGTGCCCCCAGGAGGCCAGAGGAAAGGGGGGAGGGGGGGGAAGGCAGGTGAGCCTTGGGGATGAAGAGGATGTGCGCCATGCCAGCCGTCCACACGCTCTGCTTGCCAACCCCTACCCCCTCACCCTTACTAACCCCTCACTAACCTCGTACTCTCGTGAAACACGCCGCGCTCAGGGGCCCTGTGCGCACGACAGGTGCGTTGTCTCTCGTGCACATGACAGGTGCATACCGCAGCATGCATGGTGGCTCTCGGTTAAGGAAGCACCTCTACTTGCACTTATCACCTCATATCCACCTGTCTCACCCCCCCTCCCTCCTCCTCCTAGCAGGCGTCTTGGATGAGCAGCACACAGGCGAAGTCGTCGGGCTGCTGCAACAGGAACACCTCCGGCATGAGCGAAAACGACCTCACGTCCCACTTGCCCCTCTGCCCTCCCGTGCACGCCCGGGGCACATGCGAGGGGAGCGAGGGAGGCAGGGACGCGATAGGGCATAGGCAGGCAGGGGCGAGGAGGCGCAGGCAGAGGCACAAGGGTGCAGGGAGGGGCGAGGCCGAGAATGTGAGGGCAAGGCATGTGTGGGCATGGCATGTGGGAGCATGATATGTGGGAGCATGACATGTGGGAAAATGACATGTGGGAAAATGACTTGTGGATGGGAGAATGGCATGTGGCGGCATCAACACAGCAGCAACACCCCCTGGCAGGCATCTAGAGACAGGCACATGGAGAAGGACAAGGGCGGGCCATAGGAGAGAGAAAGAGGGCGTAGAGCAGGAGGGAGGGAGGCGGGGAGCGTACGAGGGAGAGGAGAGGGGAGCGTACGAGGGAGAGGAGAGGGGAGCGTACGAGGGAGAGGAGAGGGGAGCGTACGAGGGAGAGGAGAGGGGAGCGTACGAGGGAGAGCAGGAAGGAGCTGTCGGTGGCGTTCCAGGGCACCTTGCTGGCCGCCAGCCCCGGCGTGATGTGGAACAGCCGCCCGTTCACCGTCTCCCTCGCCCTCACTGCCAAGCTCAGATGGGCTCCCACGCCCTGCCCCATGCCCGCCCCCCCCTCCGCCTGCGCCGGATTGCTGCTCGCCCCCCACCTGCATGCGTGCTGGGAGAGGGGAGAGGAGGAAGGGTGGGTTTGAGAATGGGGAGGGGAAGTGGTGGGGAGGGAGATGGGTGGGAGAGGCATCGCCCCCTGCATGCGTGCTGGGGGGGGAGACGGGTGGGTGGGAGAAGCATCATGGGGCTGCTCATGGCGCGGTGGCATGCAATGCAATGCGGTGTCAAGCAGCAGAGGTGCCACGACGCAGCAGTGCGTACGGCCTGCCAGCGCATGCCAGTGCACGCCAGCTCATGCCAGTGCATGCCAGCTCATGCCAGCGCATGCCAGCTCATGCCAGCGCACGCCAGCTCATGCCAGTGCACGCCAGCTCATGCCAGTGCACGCCAGCTCATGCCAGTGCACGCCAGCTCATGCCACAGCGTGCCAGCTCATGCCACTGCGTGCCAGCTCATGCCACTGCGTGCCAGCTCATGCCACTGCGTGCCAGCTCATGCCACTGCGTGCCAGCTCATGGCAGCGCGGCCTGCCAGCGCCGTACCGTGCGCGGGCGTTGGGGTCGCTACGAGCGCGGCGTGGTGCGCCATGGCGCGCTCCTGCTGCCCGCTGCGCCGGCGGATGTCGGCGGAAGCGGCGGAGAGGGAGCGCGAGGAGAGGCTCGACTGGAAGAAGAGGTAGATGGTCGACAGGTTCAGCAGCAGCAGCAGCACCGCCACCAACGCCACGTTCGACACCACTGCGCCTCCGCCCTCCCTCTCCGCGCCCGCCGCTCCGCTTCCCCACACCCCTAAGGCCGCGTGTGCCCCGTGGACCGCGTGCGCAGGGCTGCCGTGGAAGTGGCTGCCAGCGGCGAGCGCGAACTCGCGGGAGAGGGCCGCGGGGGAGAAGGCGGCGACCGGGGAGGCGACGCCGCCGGCGGCGGAGGGCGCGCGGAAGGCGGCGGCTTGCGGGCTGGCGTGCTTGCCGCTGGCGAGCGGGGAGCCACGTGGATGGTTGAGGGAGCCACGTGGATGGTCGAGATCGCTCAGGTGGTCGATCGCACGGCGCTCCGCGATCCTGATGGGCGGCACGTCATCCGCGGCACCACCGCGAGCGGCGTCGACCCCGCCGCGTGCTTCAGCCGCCCCGCGATCGGCCGCTGCACGGCATGGAGCGGCCACGCACGCGCAGGGGGAACGCGCGGAGCGGAAGGGGACTACGATGGCCGCCGCCGCATTCGCGAGGGCGCGCGGGGCGATGGCAGAGAGATCGAGAACGTTAGTGCTAGAGAGGACGCTACAACCTTGATAAGATAGTAGCAATGCTAGGAGATGCGGCGGTCTGTGGGCAGGCGGAGAGGGAAGGTGTGGAGGAGGAAGCGACACAGGCGCGATAAAAGGACGGCGCATTGCGCAGGAGAGTGTGCGGGGGACCGATAAAGCAGCAGCGGTAATGCTGGTGAGTCGCAGCGAAAAGTAGGAGCGCAAGCGGCGGCGGACTAAGCTGCGGGGTGGAGAAAGATGAGCACTGCGGTTTGGTGAATATTTTCGTTATTGCCAGCCCCCGTTTGAAGGAAACGACTTAGTAATGGTTTTTTTTTTATTTTTATTTTTTTAAAGGAGGGGGGGAAACCCCTCTGGGTGTTAACCACACCTGGCTGTCGGTCGTAACCCGCCTCCCCATTTGTTTACACTCCTCGCTGGGTCAACGAGGTTGTTCTATCCACTCCCAGATGAGCACCTGTGTAACCCCCTTCTGGGGGGCTGGCAGAACACGCCGCAGGGGGGATTTGATCCCGGGACCTCATCTTAGTAATGGTTTTGTTGAACATGGTCCTTTTATGAATGAATTTTCAGAGTGCGCATGAACAACAAATACCGAGAATGTGATTACAAATTCTGACGACACAACGTAAGTGGCGAGACTAAATAGGGGGTTTCCTAGCTTTCAGAAAGGACGGGCTTTCCTAAATCCGGGAAGCTTCCTAGCTTGGTGTGGCGGCGACTCGAACGTGGGTTGGGTGCAGTTTTGTAGGCTGGACCAGATTGTCTCGTGACCCTCGGGATGTTCTCGCTAAGGGCTGCTACAGTAAGGATTTCTAAATCCAAGCCTCCCACCTTCCAATTAAGGCGGTCTTGTGCTTAGAAGAATCCCGCACTAGCGATGACGCCGTTGATCTTCACAACAGATGAATCCGACTGTTGAAATGCTTTCAACCTATTTGAAAGGAGCACTGGAATGTGGGCCGTTGATCTTGTAGGTCTGACGGATGAAACCAAAACCAGCTGAATGTTGGAAGTTGGACCATAGATGAAATTTGATGTAGATCTGATGGATAAAACAGACGTGATTTTGGAGGGAACCTGCTGACGCATGTCTAAGTCATGATTGAGCAGGGACTGTTCATTTCAATTGGAACGATCGTGGTCGTCCGTCGTGTTACTGAAAGCTGACAAAGTCGAAATAGCTAACGAGAAAATGTCGAGGTAAGTAACACTCTAGCGCACGTTCTTCCTGTTAAACTGTATTATGCTTGTAGGCTGTAGTGGGGTAGCCAATATGGGGTACAACCCCAACTAGGGTTTCATATTTGTACCCAAACTTCTGCTAGTTCATCATCCTTGCCTAGTGATTCTGACATGGTATTCAGAGCAGGAGGTCCCTAGGACCTACCGACCGTTTTTTTTTAAGGGCCCACCACCGCTCGCTGCGGTTACCACGCTACCCCGTGCCCTAGCCTCGTAGCGCCCTCGTGCGCCCTCGTTAGCGCCCTCGCGCGCCCCTCGTTAGCGCCCTCGCGCGCACCCTCGTTAGCGCCCTCGCGCGCCCCTTCGTTAGCGCCCTCGCGCGCCCCTTGCTAGCGCCCTCGCGCGCCCCTTCACTAGCGCCCTCGCGCGCCCCTCGCCGAGCCGCCCGCTCGCAGCCCGCTCGCCCGCTCGCTGCCCGCTTCGCGGCCCGCTCGCTACGCAGCCCGCCCGCCCGCTCGCTGCCCGCTTCGCGGCCCGCCCGCTTCGCAGCCCGCTCGCTCGCTGCCCGCTTCGCGGCCCGCCCGCTTCGCAGCCCGCTCGCTCGCTGCCCGCTTCGCGGCCCGCCCACTTCGCAGCCCGCCCGCCCGCTCGCTGCCCGCTTCGCGGCCCGCCCGCTTCGCAGCCCGCCCTGTCAGAATATTATGCTCTAGCCTGTAGTGGGGTGCTCTGTAGC